GCTTTTGCAGCCATCCTCGGCGATGGATCCGTGGTGACCTGGGGCAGTGCTGGCCATGGTGGCGACAGCAGCGCTGTGCAAGATCAGCTGAGGAACGTGCAGCATGTTCAAGCTTCTTATGGTGCTTTTGCAGCCATCCTCGGCGATGGATCCGTGGTGACCTGGGGCCGGGCTGACGAAGGTGGCGTCAGCAGTGCTGTGCAAGGTCAGCTGAGGAATGTGCAGCAGATACAAGCCTCCTGTGGCGCTTTTGCAGCCATCCTGGGCGATGGAAACGTGATGACCTGGGGCAGTGCTGGCCATGGTGGCGACAGCAGTGCCGTGCAAGATCAGTTGCGTGTGTAGAGCAAAGGTGAATGTCGGGCGGCGACGATGGCCAGCAGAATGAGCAGAAATGTAGACTTGTCTAATACATCGTGTTTCTGGTGCTTCTATTGCAGCATACGGACCCCACAATCCCTTCAATGTGTTTTTTTTGTCCTGCTATGCTTGCTTCGAAACGGTCTAGTTGTGGCCTGTGTATGGTTGGGTTTGGGGTTTAGGGATCAGGGATTTTAGGGCTTAGGGCCTCAACAACCAGAACAATCTTCTGGCGAAATGACGGTTTAGGCAAGTATCAGGTGATAACCGAGGTCCCTTTCCAGGTAGCCCGCCTACACCCGAAACCCTACAGTGTGTGCATGGCCAGATATACAGGACCCCATACTACTAGAATCCCGACTCTCTTGGTTTATCTTTTAAATTATCCCTAGAAAGCCTTGAAACCCTGTTTGGGATGTCGGTATCTAGGGGTCTAGGAGCTTTCAAAGGCCTTGCCACACCACATGTTTTTGTAGTGTAAAGTATGGATTATCTTCTTTGTTACAGAGACAAACATGCTAGTGTGAGAGCGCAGGGCTTCTGAAAGCTTAGAGGTCCTTTCGGGGTCCCAAAACGAAGGACCACAATATTTTGGCGTCTCATACACTGGGGACCCTGTGTGTGAATTCTCCGCCTGACAGTACCTGAAAGGGTTTCAGAGAGGTGCTGAGCGATGACAGGGGGATGTAACACGTTCTATTATATATATACATATACATCAACATACCTATATTATATTGAAACATACTCTACTCTGCTATATTGAAACGTAGTATATTACTTGGTAACAAATATAGGACTTTGCTAGTATATAAGAGTGTGTAGCGCGTTGGCTGCTGCCGGCCGTGACCTAGGGCCTCTCGGCGGATTGCCGGTGGGAAAGAGCCCCCACAACATGCAGAATAATGGCCTTTGTACAACTGTTTTTTGTTCTGTAAACCCTGAACCCTAGCCCTTATTTCTAGGTCCAGGTAGCTGGGGTTTAGGGTTTAGCGATGAACTCTAGACCTTAAATCAGGCAATGTGCAGAAACACGCTGCAATACCAGGCTGCCTTCACTGAATTTGGGCAAGTTCCTGCTCTGCACGACGAAGGCCAGGGCTTCCGGAAGAGAGAGATGTAGTATAGCCCCAGAAACACTGTAACAGATTGCAAGTTATCATAGTATACTCAAGCATCTAAGGTGTTTGTAATGTGTTAGATTAGACTAGAGAGTGTTTTTCTGGCCTCGTGCACTGTGAGGACGAATTTCGTAAGCGCTCCGTGGGAGACCGTCATGGAAAGCAAATATGAATTTGTTGCATAAACCGCCATGTGAAGTGTCTCAAAATAAGCTACAATTAAATCAGGCGTGAAGCTAGCGTAGAACTGGCAACGCTTGTGGTTTGATATTGTAAGTTGCAGGTATTGTTGTGTAGCAAGTCAGAACGAAGGCATCGAAGATCGGCGATGGCATGTTCGCAAGCGATAGCGATGAGGAGGCTTGGCACTCTTTCGTCCAAAAGACACATGACATGAGCTATCGTCTAATTTTTTAAAGGACGTCACATAGCGGATTATACAGCGGATTACTACAGGGGGTATTAAAAGGGGATACTAGGAGTTTAGACCATAGCTTACATGTAGTTAGTCCTAGGTCCCAGTGGATCTCAGAGTTAGTTCTTGTTTGCTGAAGCTCTAGCATGCAAGATGCTGGGTTGCTGTTAAGGAGCTCAATTTAAGCTACTATACTGGAGAAACCCTATTGATTACCATATATACCCATTATATCCCATTATGGTAACTCAATTAAAGTTCCTTAACAGCAACCCAATCTAGCATGCAAGATGTTGACCGACGACGTTTCAGAGTCCCACGGCCTTCAGGGCTTCGACTGTTGGGGGGTTGGGGGGGGGTTAAGGGTTTTAGGGTTCGGGGATTTTAGGGATTAGGGTTTGGAGGGTTTCAGGTTTTAGGGTGTAGGGTTTAGACTCCAGCCCGCCAAACGCATGGACAAGATTCGCGTGTTCGTTTCTAAGAGGGCCAGCATGCATCTCAGCTGTGCATCGAAGATCGCCTTCGTAAGCAGGAGCCGTCCACCACTGGACTCACCAGCGCCGCCCTCAACTTCACCGCTATGGGTTGTTGTTGAGGAATTTGAGTGAAGCCACTGTTAGGGGGAAGTATTGTTTCCTATAGACCCAGAGGATGGCACTTGAATGTTCCCTAACAGACGCCCAGTTGCTTTAAGTTCCTTAACCCTAAGGGTCCAAGGACCCAAATAATAGGGTTTTAGGGTCCAAATATCATTAATATTATAGTATTTGGGCCTTAAAACCCTATTATTTGAGTCCTTCGGCCCTTAGGGTAACAGCAAACCAATGGCGCTAAGACTGAACAGCTCTCAGCCGCAGCTCTGGAACAGGTGGGGTGTTCAGATGGCGGGTCTAGATCGGGATTTTTATAGGGATTCCCAGTAGCTGCCACTACGGGCTATTAGACCTTAAGGGTACCTTAATCTACCCCTAATAGGGTCCTAATAGGGAATTTTAAGGTCTAATAGCCCATAGTGGTGGGTAGATACACTTTGCACTTTTGGGGTTCTTATATTCCCATTGGAATAAAAAGTGTACACTTTTTAGGGGCCAGGGAACTCAGCAACTAGGGATTTCCTCGAATTCAGGATAATACTCGTCCTTGTAATGCGTTCCTGTTATAATACGGGCCCCCATACACATTTCCTCCATCTAGGGCACAGTATTTAGGTCGAACCCAGTATACAGGGTTTAGGCATAGCACCCCGTCATAGAGAATCACATGGAGAAGAGAATGGAACATGAAATGGAAACTGGGATGATTTGGTGGTTTTATAGGGTATAGAGTTTCTGAAAATTAGGGGCAATTCTTTGGGAGGTCTCATATACGGATTAGAGTATATTGGGACCTATATTGGGCAACTGTTTATGCGAACCCCCATGTTGAAGGTCTCAAAAGCCGGGTTTCGATAGTCAGCTAGTCGCAGCGAAATCAGCAGCAATGCTGTTGGTGTCATCGTTCCACGAGGCGTGTAGCATGATCTCTCGTTTTATCAAAGTCCGCATCATGCTTGACAGATGCGAATTGAATCCAGTTGCAGGAAAAGTTAGTGTGGCTGAGAATTGTCAATAATATCCCCCAACAAAGTTGACATAAGTACAGGCTTATATTCTTGAAAAACCTATTCTACTTGCGCAGGGCCCCGCGGTACAGGCATCAGAGATTTCAGAGCCCTTTGCGGTCAGCTCAGGCGTAAATCCTCGAACATTCATGCGGTCTGAGGAGGACGGTCTAGGGTTTAGGATCTAAGGAGAAGATTATACGCGGACCCCAAATAAGTAGGTGAATCAATGCCACAAGGTGCCGAAAAAACAGTGAAAGCAAGTTATTCTGTATACTTTGAGTCTCCAGGTAGTACCGAAAGGTGAACTTTTTTCGGCAGACCAAGTTCACACGGTAGGTTGTCAAAATTGGAGTTGTGGTCCCTCTCTGGGTCCCTATACTATAATGCGGCCCCGGAAAATTTATGGTACCACAGAAGGATCACAAGCTGCAAACCCCCCAGAGTTTTTTTGGAGAGTTTTTTTGGTACACCACCGAACAACACTAAACCTTAAACCCTAAACCCAAAAGCCTTAAACACTAAATCCTAAACCCAAAATCTTAAACCCTAAATCCCAAACCAACAAACCCTAAAACTTAAAACTGCGGAGTCCAAGGTTTAGGCTTGAGGTGTTGTCATGTAGCAGTGTGCCGGAGCAGCGATTCGTGTAGCAAGGCAAAGCGTGGCAGGCCGCACTACTGAAGCAAACCAAAGGGAATGAGAGTATAACAACAACGTCTTATTGTATTTTACTATTATATCTATATACACATATTTGTGTGCGTGCGGCGGCGGAATGCACACCAAAGCGTTGAAGAGCAAAGCCAACATGAAAAACATGTATGTCAAGACTGTTCGGGAACCAGAACCCCTATCATACTGCGCTGTATAACTCCCTTTAAGGAGTTTAGACCCTAAACCCTAAACCCCATATAACCCTAAAGAACCCTATAGAACCCTATAATCCCCTATATAACCCCCTTCATGGAGTTTTGACCATAGCTCATACAGGATGGGGCATCCCGCTTGCAGGACTCCGATGCCGACTCTGACGTAGAAGAGGAGGCCCTGCAGTTCAGCAAATGGGGGTAGAAGGGTTTAGGGTTTGGCGGTATATTGGGGTTATATAGGGCTCTTATTGGGATAATGGAAAAGAAAATGGAAACTACTATTTAGGTTTTAGGGTTCAGGATTTAGGCTGTAGGGTTTAGGGTTCAGGGTTTATTTAGGTGTTTAGTGTTCTTTTTTGAAAAGTCCCTGTAATAAAAGATATAGCATATTGCGGTGTCTACTTGGACCCCCCTAGTTCATGGAAACCCCGTATCAAGCAGTGATGCTTTGCTCGCTTCCCAATGGATGCTTTCAAAACTGCCTGGCGATAGCTGCAATTGCTGCGTGCTGATTTTGCAGTTGAGGAGTAGCTTTTTCCCGAGATTGATCTAGCCGCAGGTTTTGGTAGTCGGGTTTAGGGGCATGGATGAAAAATTAGCCCAGCCATAATCAGACGATTCGAGCAACCACAACCCCTAGAAAAAGGACCCTCTGAGATTTGTTGATGGGCATACGGTCCTTAGCACCGAGATTGAGGTATTGCAAGATCCGTGTATGATGAACCTTGCAGGAGAAGCTCGGAAGATGCTCTGTGCTCATGAGGCTGGCAGAAAGAGATGCTGCTTGTCCTTGAGAGGTTGCGCAAACCCTAGACGCCAAAGCCTACCGGGAACGGGGACTTCGTAAGTCGGTTAATAACACTTGTGATCCACATAGCAACCCTAGCTATCCCCCTTATCAACCTACTCACAAATCCCCTGACCCTCCAAGTAAACCCTAAACCTAAAGCCTAAACCCTAAACCCAAGCCACCTGTGGACTTAGCACTCCCAGGTTGAATCTCGAAGCCTCTTTGACGCAATATATCTCTATACACCCCTCTACAAGGTTAGAATGACAGGCACCGCCCTAAACGCTAAACCGCATTCAGCGTGTGTAGCCTGTGGCGTTGGAAGGATTCAACCCAACCCGGCAGTTTCAGAGGACGTTTTTGTAGCAAACGCGAGGATTCCAGAGGGTTTAGGGAGCTGTCCAGGTTACACTGGTTGGGGCAATACTTGAAGGGTCACGACGACTTCGTAAGTAGGTTAGTAACCCATCTAACCCATGTAGCAGCCCTAGTTATTCCCATTATTAACCTACTTGCTAAGCCCGCCTGACCCTCCAAGTATATTTGTCACGACGCCTGTAAAGCACGCTGGGCAGGTGCATCCAGGTGCCTGCAGTTGCAAGTTCCAAGACAGTAATCCCCTCCCCTATTCATAACCTCCACTTGCCCGAATAATATCCCCCCCAAAAACTGCCATGTCATATCAAGGGGCATATCAAGGGGAACATTCATGAGGTGGGGGTGTTCATAATAGGGGCAGGCCCCTAAACCCTAAACCCGATAGGGTGGTGATCAGTAAAATTTGTCTCGTCGTTGTCTTTCTTGAGCTGTCTACTTGGAGTGTCCAGGCTTTAGGGTTTAGGGTTTAGGGTTTAGGGTCAAGCGCACTTGGTAAGTAAATTAATACTGGGGATAGCTAGGGTTACTATATGGGGTATATGGGTTACTAACCTACTTACTAAATCCCCTTGACCCTCCAAGTAGGGTTTAGGGTTTAGTGGAGCTGTCCGATCTTTGTGTGCTACCTAGAAGTAATGTATCCGCGCCTAGACCCAAAAAGTATGTGAAACCATGGCCCAAAACCCCTGACAATTGCTAAAAACGCCACTAATCTACATATTTTGGGTCCAGGTAGGCATCAATCAGCCGGCTCATTTTCTGGTTTCTGTCGCAATTTTCAGCTGTGCAATCCCTATAAACCCCTATGTAAACCCGTGCGGTTTAGGGTTTAGGATTTCCATTTGCTTTTCCATGCCCTTTTCCATTTGATCCTCCATTATCCCGTAACATAGTGCGAAGATGAGGCTTATGCCTTACGACTACAATCCCAGACCCCTGGGAGGATCTAAAAATTAGATCCCCCATATAGACCCATTATAACCCCTATATAATCCTTATATAATTTCCCATATGGTTCTAGGGGATCTAATTTTTAGATCCCTTTGGGGGTCTGGGATTCTGCGTTAGGGACTGCCCCCTAGGCGTACGTTTCGTACAGGGGGTGCAAAGTGTTGTAGTTGCAATTTTCAGCGGCTGTGACTGGGTGTGGGTAAATGATAGCTATACGACTCATGGGTGGGTTCTTGCATGGCTTCAGATGCCCCAAGCCGTGCGCCTCAAGGTATCTTGCTGATGGTGGGTAGCGCACATAATTGTCCATCAGTCTGTATTCGTGGTAGGTCACTGCGGAACGCTGACGGTATGCAATAGTGGTAACATCTACCACTTACGGTGGATACTAACAATCCTACATAACCCAAAGTGCTATGGTACCATAGTCTACTAAAGCCATGCAGGGGCTGAAGTATTAATTAACAGTATAGGTCCTAAACCCTAAATACTGTAGTAGTTTCCATTTCTTGTCCACTATTGTCAGGGTTTCCATTGTTGCTGTTGGGTTTGGGGTCTAGGCCTTTAGGGGGTACAGGCTACAAGCTAGTCATAGCTTCATTGTACCCTACCTAAAGGAGGGCCAAGGACCACAAAACGAGTGTCACTACAACAGCTTATACCACTTTTAGATGAACCCTAAACCCTAATCCCAAGCCCCTAAACCCTAAACCCTAAACCCTAAACCCCTAAACCCCTAAACCCTAAGCCAAGCTTTTTGGTTCCGCAGGCAGCTGGCGCTGGCTGTCGTAGAGATATTGTTGTCAATCCTACTCTTCAGCTGGTGCCCCAGGTTTTGGTTTGGAAGCGTTTAGGGTTTAGGATTTAGGGGGTGAGTGTGACTGGAGTGTCAGAGCTTTCGTTCCTTGGGGAGTCCCTTTCTACAACGAAAGGTCCCTACTTCTTAGAGCTGCCCACGAGAACGCTCAAGACTCCCCACAAACTCCATAGGTATCTCTTCTACGAGCGATACCCTCGAGACAATCCTTTTCCTGTCGTCAAGAGCTAGCCACGGCTGACCACATGTGTGACCATACCCTGGAGCTTAGCTGCCTTGACGGTCGATAGACAGTTGCCTCACGTGTCAGTACGTGTTGGCGCCATGTTGGATGGTCATCATCGGCTCGTCCTTATGGCGTGTTATAATAAAGTCAACATCGTCAACAACACCCGCCGCAGCCACAAAAAAAAGCCGCCACCGCCACCGCAGAAGAAGAAGAGGGCCACTGTTACCTTTGCCAACGCTAACCTGGCTAGCACCAACAGCCGCAACAATTGCCAGAACAACCTTGGCGAGGCGCTCCCGCTTGCCTTTTTTACATGCTTCGGGCCACCCTCATTCACAGGGCCTCAGCCAGAACGGGTGCTTGTTATGCGATCCGTCTAGTGGGGCTATTTAGACCCTAGGGTTGAGAATGGAAAAGAAAATGGTACCTTCTCCTTTCTTAGGGATTCATATCTCATGCAATTGCCATTGCCATGCTGAGGCCATTCTTCACTTTTTCATACAGATCTCTTCTGACTGGTGCTATCCCGACCACTATTACTCTTACCATGCCCTAAACTGGAACCCTAAACCCCTAAAGCCTAAACCCCTAAACCCTAAACTGCTAGCTGAGGTCCAGAGCTGATCATAGGGGTGGTGCGATTGGTTCGTGGGTCCTGGGCCCAGGCCTGAAAAAGGATTAGGGTTTAGGGTTTGGGGTTTAGGATCTAGGGTGCAGGGTTTGGGGTTCAGGGGTTCCGGGGTTTGGGGTTTGGGGGTTTGGGGTTTAGGGATTAGGGTTGAGGGTTTCAGCATGAAGCCCAAGCCCGCACAAAGTGTGAGTTTTTGTAGGGTTACATGGGTTTGCATAGGGGAGATGTAAGGATTATGTAGGGAGATGTAGGGAGCACATGGAGATTATTTTGGGGTTTAAGGGGTTATTACCCTTATGATGGAAGATCAACGGAAAAGAAGAGGGAAATGAAATGGAGACTGCATGACACAGGGGCCGTCATAGATAAAGGGAGTTGGGAAGGTTTAGGGCTCAGGATTAAGGGTTCACTGGATCCCTTGTTTAGCTGCATTTAGTCCTTCCGCAGGGCGACATAACCCCTCCCAATAATTACACTCCCCCGAACTAACCTGGAAACCCATATAGCCCCCTTTTAGAAGGACTCTAGTCATTATAGGGCCCTTTTTGGGGTTTCCATGTTAGTTTCCGGGAGTGTAAGCATACGCCATCAGCTACATCCTACGGATCCTGCACATGAGCCGGGCACTTTGGCTAAGCAGGCTAAGAATCAAAGCAAGGACATGTAGGGTTTAGGGTTTAGGATTTAGGGTTTAGGGTTTAGGGCTTAGGGGCTTAGGGTTCAGGGCGCAATTGGTTGCAGTATTTGCTTACGCAGGGTAGGTCTGAAGACACTTCTCATATTTTCTTACCCCTAATCCCTATACAATCCGTATAAGTCCATAAGACATTGTTCTTGTAGGGCCCCCAGACCTACTGTACCAGTAGTATTTCTCCTGATAGAGATCCACTTCCTCTCTAGACCACGACTCCCCGGTACCAATCGTGATGCAATCTGGACCGAAGAACAAAAGTCTGTGCTCACTTGCCAGGTGACAGGAACGCAGAATTGGCAACCGCAGGACGGAGTGACGAAGTCCTGCTAGTCTTCACATTGTAAAAGTGTTGGTTATGTTGTTAGTGGAAGGGCTTAGGAGAAGTCGTACCAACAACGAAGCCATCACTGGCATTTCGCTTCGGAAAGGGGCGTAGCGCGACCCGAGGTCGCAAACAGACATTCTATATTGTGTTGGTACAAGGATAGTGAAGTCTCCGCCATGCTTAAGACTTGCGTGAAAACAGCCACACCCTGCACCCTAAACCCTAAACCTTAAACCCATTCAAACACTTTTAATGGCATCATGGGAGATGTTCTCCGGAAGTTTCGCAGAAGATCCCATAACAGTATGCATGATGCCAAGAGTCATCGTCGCAACTCTGAATAGTGCAAAGGACATCGGAAACTACCACAATATTGGGGATTATATTATACAGGGACTACCATAAGGGAAACCCAGAGCGTTTGAAGAACAGAGGATGCTGTGGAGAAGGAGGTCCAGCAGAACCTCAGCTTCGTGTATGTCTTCAAGGTGTGGACACTGAAAAGCGCTGAACTGTTGAGATATTACTGGGAATGTGTTTTTGAAAGCATTGTGGACCATAATCCTTGTATATTCCTTGTTTTGAAAGCATTGTGGACCATAATCCCTGCATATTCCCTATCAAGCCATAAGAATCAAAGTGCGCTATGCCCTAAGCCCTGAACGTAGTACAGAGTTGACCCAATAAGCCTACTGAGCATTCAGGTTGATCATCCGAAGCTTCTGCTCGAGGTGAGAGCTACCCATATCATGTGAGTAGTATTTTTTGGGGGATACTATGGTACCCAATATAGAGTAAGATTATATCCTCCTTTTGTATATAGGGAATATTATCTTACTAGGTTCAACCACCAAAAGAAACACTACTCATGTGCCCATATAG